TTTTTTTTTTTAATTTAATTATTATTATAATGTATTTTATATTAAAATTGTAAATTTATTATTTTACCATTTTAAACATTAGTCAATTTTTTTAAATGATCAACTAACAATCAAATGGATGAAAACCATCCATCTGGACTCCGGATGTAAATTTTCTAAAGGTTTTGTATTGTGGGTGACACAAGTAAAAAGTTTGAGCAATGTTTGCTACTAAATAAAATGTTTGGTATCTTGGCTGCAATTTTTCATTTTCTGTATCCCTATGCTACAGTTCAAAAATATTTAAAAAAATAAGTTTTCAAATTATATCTCCTTTATTGTGAGAAGAAAATATACGATCATGTTTGACATGAATTAAAATTAAAATTAATTATTAATTTCAATAATACATTTTATGATATTCATAATTTTTCAACAACATATTTTATCAACTTTTATCAAAATTTAGTAAAAAAAATAATTTTTAACGACACCAAACAACGGCATAACAATTTTTTATTTTTTTGGTGAAAAAAATATTTTTGTAACTGTAAGCAAGGTGTTTCGCGCGGATTATTGAGCCTCGCTAATAATTAAAAGATGGTTCAAACGATTGTGTAAGGAACAAACATCTCAAGATAAAGTCTCAACGATGGGTGCTTTATTTATGAAGATTACAAATGGGAAGAAGCAAAACGACTCCAAGGAGCACAAGCACACAAAGTAATTTGAAAGTTTGACGATAAGATCTAAAAGAAGTTATCAAACCCGGATCGGACCGGCCGGTTCGATCCGGGAACTGTCGAACCGAATCATGGTCCGGTCCGGGCATCAGGAAATAGCAACCGAGCAAACAGCCCGTTTAAAACTCAAGAATCGCTGGTTAATGGAAAAAATCGTTGGCCCAAAAACCGCCCGATCCATGTACCATATATAAAAACCCAAAAATGCACACAAATTCCGGCTACCTACAGCCTCCAAAGCCGTCGGACTTGGACACCGGTCGACAGCCCTTAACTTCCTCTTCAATTACCACCCAACCTCTCCCAATTTCATCAAATATTTTGGCCGGAATTAATGCTCAAAGTTCGCTGCCAAAAAATCTGAAAATCGCCGTAAACACCATCTCCGGCCACCCCCACGATCGGAACTCACCACTGGTCGAAAGCCCACAACCAAGCAACCCTCAACGTTGGGTTCGCCTTCACAAGAAGGCATATATATATACAGGAGAGAGAGAATGACGTGTTTGAACTTGGAGAAATATTAAAAATGCAAGATAGAAATAGTGTTAAATAAAATTCTATTTTGGGTGTTTAAATTCAACAATTTGGTACTGAAATAGTGTTGATTTATTTTGAATAATTTACTTTGTAACACGTGTTTTATGCATGATTATTTTTTAAATGTTGATTTTACTTTTGCAAAAATATTCTTATAGTTTATGAAGCTA